AGAATTTGTTCCCATAAACAGAGATTAATCATTTTGGGAAGCGTACCTTTGACCTCTCTCAAACCAGTGGGAGCTATTCCCTGCCACTGTATGACCAAACTTGCCTCTGTGTTGTAGTGATGGCAGGAATGTGGGCAGGGGTTTATGGGGAACAAAAGGTATGTAGGGTAGGAGGGAATTGGTTTAGCCTGCATGCTGTTCACCCTTCCCACTTCCTTTGCTCATTCATGAAGCTGACAATAGACTGATTATTATCCCTCATCTGAAATGTTTGGGCCCAGATGCATTTTGGATTTCAAATTCTGGAATGCCTTTATCCACATGTATATATTTAAATTTATTTACGGTCAATGACCTAGAATCTCAATCAATGGCTGATACCCAATGGGAGATTCCCTCCTGGGCACACAGAAGACTGGGCGATTTGGAAGGCGCTGAACAGACTGTGCTCTGGCACCACGAGATGCAGAGCTAACCTTAAGAAATGGGGCTACAAAGTGGAATCCATGACATGTGAGTGTGGAGAAGAGCAAACCACTGACCACCTGCTGCAATGCAACCTGAGCCTTGCCACATGCACAATGGAGGACCTTCTTGCAGCAACACAAGAGGCACTCCAAGTGGCCAGATACTGGTTAAAGGACATTTAATCAACTACCAAGCTTGCAAACTTTGTGTTTTGTTTGCTTGTTTGTTAAAAAATGCAATGCAACTGTTTGGTCTGCCCCTAACACAATAAATAAACCACCAAATACCCACAATCATGATTTATATATACCAGGCATGGTCAAACTTGGGCCCTCCAGGTGTTTTGAACTTCAACTCCCACAATTTCTAACACCCAGGGTGTTATGATTTATGGGAGTTGGAAATCCAAAACACCTGAAGGGCCCAAGTTTGACCATGCCTGGTATATATCTTAAAGACATAGTCTGAAGATAATTCTATACAATATTTAAAACAACTGTGGCCATTAAACTGAAGTTTCATACACAGGAACCACCAGAAAGCAAAGGTGTTTCACTGTTTCAGCCATCCATGTGGCAATTCTGGTTGCATGATAGATGATGTAAGAGTGTGAAAGACTCAGGAGTGGAACTCTCTGCCCCGGAGTGTGGTGGGGGCTCCTTCTTTGGAAGCTTGTGGCAGTTTTCTGGGTCTGCCTTCTGTGAATGCGAGGGGGGAAGGAATGTGGGTTGGCTTCTGGGCTGATGGATGCTGATGGCATTAATCTTTCCAGCTGAGGAAATATTGGGTGCCATGGATTCTCAGGAAAAGGCAAAAGTCGGGTGTTGGATAACTCCATAAACTTTCCGGCTAGCCAGGAATTAATTCATCATAGGGTGTAAGGATTTATTGTTGGCCAGGAAAGATGGTCACTGGGTGATTATTCCTCTGGGCCAACCGCCCAGAGAAATAACAGGATTATCCCTCTCTTCTGCCTTGGTCAGACCACACCTAGAATACTGTGTCCAATTCTGGGCATCACAATTGAAGGGAGATGTTGATAAACTGGAAAGTGTCCAAAGGAGGGCAACTAAAACGATCAAAAGTCTGGAGAACAAGCCCTATGAGGAGCGGCATAAAGAGTTGGGCATGTTTAGCCTGCAGAAGAGAAGGCTGAGAAGAGACATGATAAGGGCCATATAGGGGAAGTCCTAGGGAGGAAGGAGCAAGCCTGTTTTCTGCTTCCCTGGAGACTGGGACGTGGAGCAATGGCTTCAAACTACAGGAAAGGAGATTCCACCTGAACATTAGGAAGAACTTCCTGACTGCGAGAGCTGTTCAGCAGTGGAACTCACTGCTCTGGAGCGTGGTGGAGGCTCCTTCTTTGGAGGCTTTTAAACAGAGGCTGGATGGCCATCTGTCGGGGGTGCTTTGAATGCAATATTCCTGCTCCTTGGCAGAGGGTTGGACTAGATGGCCCATGAGGTCTCTTCCAACTCTATGATTCTCTGATTCAGGAGAAACCCGGCGTTTGATTTCCTCATTCACTATGTTCCCTCAGAACCCATTCATCGTGGCATTGCTCATTCCTTCGTTAATTCCTCTCTGGGCATGGACACACTTTCTGAGGCGAAGCGGGGCCCACTCACGTTCATGTTGGGCACGAAACCCTTCTTGATGCGCCAGCAGTTCTTGTCGAGCTTATCCAGGAACTGGAGCTCATCGTTGTAGCTTCGGCTCATGGCGGCGGCGGCGAGGAAAACCTCCTGCTCACTCCGTGTCACGTCTCCTTTAACGCGAGTACGGAAGCCGAGAAGCAGGTAGGCGGGCACAGGCAGGAAAGGAAATATTCTCAGAGCAGCCGAGGATCTACGGCGCCTGCGGAGGGTCAAACCGCATCTGTAGAACTCCCCCGTCTTTCTTGAGCGCCACCTAGTGGCCACATTGAAGAATAGCATTAAGGCAAAGTGGGCGTGGTAGCTGAGCTGCATAAACCAAAGGGAGAAACCTCACTACCTCTGAGGATGCCTGCCATAGATGCAGGCGAAACGTCAGGAGAAAATGCCTCTAGAACATGGCCATATAGCCCGGAAAAACCTACAACAACCCAAAGGGAGAAAGATAATTCCAGAGTAGAGTTCCTTTTCGTCCTTTTAAAAAATTTGATTTGATTTTTGAACGATATATACAACATGTCAGTACAACAATGGTAGCGCAGTGGGTTAAACCGCTGAGCTGTTGAGCTTGTTGACCGAAAGGTCGCAGGTTTGAATCGGGGGAGCGGTGTGAGCTTCTGCTGTTAGCCCCAGCTTTTGCCAACCTAGCAATTTGAAAACATGCAAATATGAGTAGATCAATAGGTACCACTCCAGCGGGAAGGTAATGGTGATCTCAACATATATGTTTATTAAGAAAGATAACAAGATGTGCTAAAGCAGTGTAACTATATGTACACTCATACAGTACAGTGCTTATCTCTTGGAAAACAAATAATATGATGCGCCTATGTTTATATCCGAATGTTTTTTCCCTGGCTTCCCACCTACTGTGAGATTGGGGCCACCAGGAAAGGACAATTCCAGCATGTGAAGTTAATGCTATAATGTAAAGTAGTTTGACTGGAAGTAGCTGACCGGAAGGTTGCCAAGTTCAAATCCGGGGAGCGGCATGTGTTCCTGCTGTTAGCCTCAACTTCTGCCAACCTAAAAGGTAAAGGTAAGGGTTGTCCCCTGACATTAAGTCCAGTCGTGTCCAACTTTGGGGGTTGGTGCTCATCTCCATTTCTAAGCCGAAGAGCCGGCATTGTCCATAGACACCTCAAAGTTCATGTGGCCGGCATGACTGCATGGAGCGTCGTTACCTTCCCACTGGGGCAGTACTTATTTATCTACGCACATTTGCATGTTTTTGAACCGCTAGGTTGTCAGAAGCTGCGGGTGACAGCGTTAACTCACGCCGCTCCCCAGATTCGAACCTGCAATCTTTCGGTCAACAAACTCAGCAGCTCAGCGGTTCAACCTACTGAGCCACTGGGGGCTCCCTTTTGCCAACCTAGCAGTTTAAAAAAATGCAAATGTGAGAAGATCAGTAGGTACTGTTCCGGCAGGAAGGTAACAGCACTCCATACAGTCATGCTGGCCACATGACCTTGGAGATGTCTGCCGACAACACTGGTTCTTCGGCTTAGAAGTGAAGATAAGCACCAACTCCCAGAGTCGGACACGACTGGACTTAATGTCAGGGGAAAACCTTTACCTTTATCTAAAGTAGTCTCCCAGCTTCCCAAGGGGGTCCGGAGATGACATAAGACACCAGATGTCAGTAAACAGATTAACTCTGTATACTTTTCATTGAACTGTTTGTATTGACATAAAACCCCATTGTGTTCTCTGGAGCTGACCCTTTGTGTAAACTGGACTGGGCAATTAATGTCATCACAGACTGCTTTGCCTATTGCCCCACCGCATTCCACCGGTCCACAGCTTTCTCAGAGTGGACCTTCCAAATAACTCAAATTTCAAATCTACAAATGATCACGGAGGAAACCCTGACCACTGGTGAAGTCAGGAGGCATACCCGGCTAGTTAAAGCCCGGATCCTAGCTAGGACAGCTTTTCAGCCAATCAGGGGAGGGCATGGATATTTTGAATGGCTGTCAAAGTGAAAAAGTGAACTTTGCTGCATCCTTTATGTTAGATCCTTTGAGAGTGTAGACTCTGTATCTGACATCCTTTTCAGGCCTGAAAGTAATAAACCTCTATTCCTGTTGCCTTCAAACCTGGTTCGTGTCTTGGATCTGGCTCATTGGCAGTAGCGAAGCATGCCAGGCTTTTAGGGGTTAACTGAAATCACTACTCAAAAGCATTAAGCCATGGCGGTTAAAGTGGTATGAAACTGCATTAATTCTACAGATGCCCTTAGTAACAACAAAGTTTTATGTGTGGAAACAATCTGTTCTTCACAAAAGATGGTAGGCAGGTAACATTATGAGAAGTGTGAGATATCTCTGCCTCACTCAAGCCATAAATACAGAGCCATAAACACCCTAAAACATGCCTATAGCTTCCTTCTAAAAGTGATGTAATCATAGTTTGGAAATTTCATTCCTAGAGAGGTAAAGGTATTTGTAAATAATCAGGTGTTTTTGTTTTCAGTTGGTAATTCTATGGGGAAAAAATTGAAGACTTGACGGTGTGATACCATCAGAGAGGGATGGCATGGGAATGATTGCCCATATATTTTTTCAGGAGATATTTGTCAGTTTCCTCACATATAAATACATACATATATACAAAAATCTCTGTAATTAGAAATTAAGACAAACACATTTTTTCAAGAGCCCAGCTTTTATTAACTAAAATCTCCATACAACCATAAAAAAATATTTACAATGCTGAAACACAGCATAAAATACCAGCCAGTGCTACTGAGCTACAAAGTACTCACACTCTTCCCCCATCTTTCAATATACCAGTCTCTTTTTTGTCACACCTTCTCTCTTCAGTCACAACCAAAGCAGTCTGACCTTCAATTCATAGCTGTGTTCCCATATATCAGAAGGTGTGTATATGATTGTTTTTCCAAATATTAGTGGACTTGAGCCTAGCATTGGTGGAAATCAGAAGGTAACCCTGAAAAGACAAATTCACAGTGTCCTGACTATTGTTAAAGTTCCTTCGTAAATAATGTGAATTAATTTTGTCTAATTGTAATTTAATTACATTAGCCTGCATCTATATCTGAATGAGAGAATCCTGTTACATCACCGGTAGTAATTATAGGGAACAACAAATTAGAACCTCAAGTTGGATATGAGCAGTTGCTGACTTTCTACATTTTATGTACAGCGATATCTTGACTTAAGAGTTTAATCTGTCCATAAATGAGTTCTTAACAAAAAACACTTATCTCAAAGTGAATTTTCCCATTGAAATGCAATTAATCCGTTCCAGCCCCCCCCCCATTTTTGTTATGTGTTTTTAAATAAGAAAATGTATTTTATAAATAACTAATGTATAAATGCACATTCACTTGCATTTATACATTTACGTGCATTTATACAAATAAAGATCAACTTTAAAATGGGAGAAGCATAAAGCTGTGGCAAGGAAGCACAAAGCACAAACTTAAAAGGCAGAAACTTCATTTTCTTCATACTGTACTCATTCCAGCCTTCTCTTGATCTCTCTCCCTCTCTCTCTTTATGAAGACAAACACACCAGGAATAAAAGCCACACAAAATCAACTTACCCAGCGTTCCTCAAAGTGGACAAGAGCAAAGAGGACAGCAATTTCCCAAAGCAGAAAAGAGCACAGGGCACAGAGGCTGCTCCCTTGGAGTCCTAAAGCCCAGTACTCTTGCGCTAGTGTTCCCTCTCATGCTAGCTCTTAAATCAAAATGCTACTCTTATGTTGAAGTGAAACCCAGGCCAAGCAACAACTCTTAACTCAAAATGCTCTTAAGTTGTGATGTCCTTAAGTAGAGGTTCCATTGTATATTCTACATTCGCATGCTAACAAACATGTTTGTTTTCTCTCTTGATCCATAGGATGTAAAAGGACTGGGCTGTGGTGCAGCTAGTTAGTAGCCAGCTGAATTAAATCACTACAGATCAAGAGGTCATGAGTTCGAAGGCAGCCCTGGTCGGAGTAAGTTCCCAACCATTAATAATCTAGCTTGCTGTCGACCCATGCAGCCTGAAAGAGAGTTGAATCTGTCAAGTAGGAAATTTGGGTACTGCTTTATGAGAGGAGGCTAATTTAACTAATTTATGACACCATAAAGCCTTCCAGCAGTGGGCAAAAGAATGAGGAAGTATTCCATCAAAGGACTCGGTGTCACAAATGGAGGTGAAATGGCAGTGCCCCCTGTGGCAAGAATTGAGCATACCCCCATGAAGCCAGAATGGAATGTTAAATGCCTCTGTGTCTGTCTATATATGTTGTATCTCTAAATGGCATTGAATGTTTGCCATGTATATGTGCATTGTAATCCACCCTGAGTCCCCTGCGGGGTGAAAAGGGCAGAATAAAAGTACTGCAAATAAATACATACATACATACATACATACAAACATACATAGGTATTGTAAACCTCACCTGGTGCATTGTAATAACAGGCTGCACAAGAACCATTGTGTCCAAGATAGGGAGAGGGATCCCATCCTTCAGATTGACTTTTTAAAAAAGAGAGTTTTGTTAAAGTAACCATTATGAAACATTAATAGCAGAGTTTCTAGTCATGCTATGAATTCATCACGGAAGTACAGTAAAGTACAGTAATGCTCATAGGTTTAATTTAAAAATGGATCCCAATTTGTGTATTACTGCTTAAACAAGTATATGTATGTGCTTTCATTTCTGAAAAGTGATATGTAACTCGAGGACAAACACCCAATTACAAATGACTTATAGTAAAGAGCAAAGGTGAAACAACAGGAATCTATACTTCTTGGAAAGGAAATTCACTCCTGAAAAAGTTATTATCATGGGGAAAAGAGGTCTCCACTGAACTCTATTACCAATCCTCATTTCCACAACAAGTCAATTTTTTCAAAATCCAATTTCCAGACACAGCATCTCAAATCAGCTGGAGCCAGTTCAATTTCTGGTCTGTATATAGCAGAATCACAAACTACTGGACTTATTTGCAAAAATATAGTCATCACATCATGAAGACAGGAGGAAATAAACACAGGTTTTTTGTCAGTTGGCCCTTTAAATCAATTCTTATTAGTAGTGTGCAAACATGCAACTAAGCTCCAATTCCTCATGAAGTAGTTTATAAACGTACTGGAATAACATTGGTTCATTTCTTGTTATGAATATGTGTATATTATCCATGAAAAAGGAGCAAGAAACAAAAGATATGCAACTTTCCTTAAATATTTTTTTATAATTTGCAGAAATGAGAAGACAACCCAAGCACTATACTTACCATTGGCTGCTGGAATTATTCCTTTTTGTAAAATATAAGACATGAAATTCTTCATAATTGAAGCCTGAAATGTTAAAGAAAATGTGACAGCTCAAAGAAGAATTGAAAAGTTGGATTACATGGAGTAGAATTGTTTTCTTTGTACAACTGACACTGTTTTATGAGTACTGGGAACTATCTCTTAGACTTCTTTAATCTGAACAGGATAAGAAAGCAAGCAAGCACCTATATTATGATTTTGTGGAATTTATTATGGAATTTTGTTATGAACATCTGATACCTAAGCTGCTGGTCACTGTATGGTTTGTAGTAGTTTATGAATTGTGAAACATGTCAGGAAAGAAAATGGAAGGAAAGAAAAATTGGAAGAAAAAAGTAATAAAAAGTAAATCACCAAAAGATTCCCACCATACATACTGCAAGCCAAAGTCAAATTAAGAAACACATTTTCACTCAATGATATTGTTTATCGAAAGCTGCATCTGACTATTTTCTGTAGGTTGCTTTTCCTATAGGTTAAAATTTACCTTGAAGAAACCGATAGTCGAGTTAGCCAAGGAGAGTTCAAAGCTGTGAAAGAAAAGGAAAAGTTTCAGAGTGAGCTCTGCATGCTAGAGTTAGGCAATTTGTGGCCCTCTAGACACTGTTCACCTGAAACTCCCAGGATCACATATCACTGCCAGCCAGGACTGATAAAACTTCTACTTCATGTAACGTTTTTCATTAATAGCACATACATGACACTGGTCTTAGGGCTGGTTACCCCTTTCCTCTAAGTAGCATGAAAGGCCAAACCTGAGTGCTCGGTTGGTTTTGCCATTATGACTGCCAAATATTGCTGAACTTTCTGTGTTTACATGAGCAGTTTAAATTTCGATGGCTGCAAATAACCTGGCACAAAGGAAATCTGAATTCCTCACTTTACTGGGGAAAGACCTTTATGGATCACTGCAAGGATTCGCACATCCACCATTTTCTGGTGTGCTTGGTTACTGCCTTCTTCCCAAGAATCTCCATTCGGTTTTTTAGGTTCTGGGAAATATCAGGAAAGATGGCCAGTTGAAAGCATCTATGTGGTTGTTCAGTAGGTCCAGAGGAAGCCAGGGTATAGGCTTCACTGATATTCATTCCCAGGGTATATAAGGTACCTTTCAGGATCCCTAAGGACAGTTTGCTTCAAGCATTCAACTTCACCTGCACACTTTTCATCTGCTGGAGGAATAAACCTTTACAACTGTAATCAATCATCTAACTGAATGGCATTAACTACCTATAAATACTAACATGAGTCTCCCATCCTATTTTTTTTAACTTGATGATTAAATTAGGTGTATTTTTGTGAAAGGAGCAATTTGAGAAATTGCAAGAAATTGCTTTTGGTGTGAGAGATTTGGCCATCTACAAGGACATTGCCCAGGGGATGCCTGGATGTTTTACCATCCTGTGGGAGGCTTCTCTCGTGTCCCTGCAGGAGTTGACAGACGGAAGCTCACCCCTCCCCCGTGATTCGAACCATCGAGCTTTTGGTCAGCAGTCCTGCTGGCACAAGGATTTAATCCATTGTGACACTGGGGGCTCCGATTAAATTACTATGATCCAACAAGATAATTTTTTTTTGATTTCGATTAAACTCTAGCAAAAGCAGAACAAAACATGTTAAGGGTTAGAATATTTTAATGTTAGTAGTATCTTTGATTTAAACAACAATTTAAATGACATATCATGTTAAAGAGAATAGCAACTTCAATTTTTTGTCAGTCTGTTGTACTCAAGGGGCCTTCACAAATACAATAGGTTAAAAAAATCCAAACAAACATTACCTGTCCAAACATAAAGTAGGTATCAGATTCTTTTCAAATATGATCAGGTTGATGTGGGTTTTGGCTGTCTATATTGGGGAAAAAGTCTACATTTATCATACTCCTCTTTTACAGCAAGGCAATAATACCAAAACTTTTTGCAAAGCAAAATGAGAAAGTTTTGTTTATTTGGGTATTATATTTCTCCCTCCCTCTTTCATCTAATTTTTTTGCTTTCTTTTTCAAAGCATTTACAGAACTAAACATTTTGAAAATCCTCTCTTCTATTTAATTTTAAAGAAGTTTTTGAATTATGAAACTTTAACAAAATAGAAAAGAAAGTAGGAAAGGGGCACATGGGATGAAAATGAAAGTAAGACAATAGGAAGCTATTTTTAGAAGATAAAAATATAATTATTCCTAGTCATAATTATATGAGGCAGGACACCTCTGAACATATACACTTTGTGTGGAAAACCAGGAAGAAAATTCTATTGTGCTTATGGCATCGGTTTGATCACTGAGCAAATAGAAAGCAGGATTATATATTTGTTCTGATTCAGTGATTCAGTTCTCTTTAAATTCTTAGGTTTCTCTTTTGCCAAGTCTGGCTATCCATCCAGCTAATATGGTATTGCCTGCTTAAGCATTCTTGAGTCTCCTTTGTGAAGAGAAAAAATGGGGCATAAAAAACCCACAATAACAACAACAATATAATTATTATAAGATTCTTAAGACAGAAAGGCTGCAAGCTGTGTCTCTTTGGAATACTACATTTTGATGGCAACTCAAGTATCAAAGATTCTTGCAGGTGAAAAAGCCTAAAAGGAGTGAATTTGTTATGCTGTACTCACTATGTTCAAGGTGAACATGGAGTTGGTTGTGAAATTTGGCTGAACTACCAGCACATCCATGGAGCCAGACAGCTCAAGGAGAAATCTACCATTGCGAAGACTGATCACAGGTGCTGCTGTAGCTGTTAGATTCATCATTACTGGATTTGATACCCCATAATAAAAGGCAACCTATAGAGTTGAAAAATAACAAAAATATTGAGGACAGATTTATTTATTTATTTGCTTTATAAACTTTGATAATACAACGCATTCTTGGTTAGAACTCTTGGAACTGCAGAAGAATAGGCTTTCTTTTTAGATAATAAGGTTCATAAACATAAAGGAACTTACTGTGGGAATGATATTGTTGAAAGTCTCTGTAGTTAACCTGAAGTAAGCGGAAAGCTGAGAATTAAAATAAAATGTAATGAGAAACAAATGCACATGTTTTAAATAATACATTGATTTGGTTTGCTTACTAGCTTACAACCAATTCTTGCAGAGAGAACTTGATCACGTTTTGCAGGGGCATATACATTTAATGCAACACTTTAAAATAATAGCAGATGTTGGACTAAAAGTTTGGATGGCCCCTGGCCAACAGATTACAGCCAATGGCAAGAAAAATGAAGCTACAATCTCAGAAGGCCACAGTCACTCCTACTTTGGATTGTAGGAGGGCTATACTAACTAATGTCTAATAATGCACCTCCTATTTCCACCTTAAAGTTGAAAATTGTTGCCAACTAGAACTAGTAGGCAAGGAGGGTCTTGCCCTGTGTTTGTTCAGAAACCATCTAAACTGCTCGTTTTTGTTAGTTGCTCTTGATCAATCATATGTTCTGAGGAAGGATATGATATAACTTCATTGCTTGTATGTGGCATTTCGAATGATATCCTTCTTTCTCAACGAAAAGGAAATTAGGTATTTTCAGACTAGAGAAATCTAAAGATACAAACAAACATGTTCTTCCAACAATGGGACGGAGGCAACAGAATTTCAGAATTACTGCTGTCAAGTTGGCATTTCAAACACCAGATTCTCAGAGAAAACTTCTGGTACTGAACATGTCTGTACCCACCCTGTTGAAGACTGGCTCAAGACATGAGGCTGCCCAAATCAGAACAGTAGATAATGCCACTAGTCACTCAAGACAATGGGCATAACTGCCAGAAGATAGACACACACACACACACACACACACTAACCAGGAATTTACTGCATCTTCATGAAACCCAAAATCTGTTTGGAGAAAGTGCATGACTGCCTAACAATGATGATAGTCCTGCTTCAACTACCTGGCTTTGGTAAAACCACTTTTTACTTTTGGGGCACATCTACATTGATGAGTTATCCCAAAGGGTGGGTAAATCTGCTCTGTTGCCACTAAATGAAGCATAGAGCTGATTTGGATTAGTACAGCCCACATTAACCCCAAGAATCCAGAGTAAACAGAAACTTTGGACCTATGTAAGCAGGTCCAAAGAGGTTCCGAGATGGAACCAGCAACAATAATTTACACAGCCATCCCCTATTCCCTAGACTCAGGATAAATGGTCTGTGTAGAACTGTCTTTGGAGATGGTTCTGGAGAACAGACCTAGGAAAGAGAGGCAAAGTTAGCTAATAGATGAAGCAACTGCAAAGTCTTGGGAATGTTTTGTAATGTAATTTTTGGGCTCAGAGTTCATCTTGTTCATGTCCTTTGCTCCCTCAACAAACTGAAGCCAATCACTTTGGCAACTAGACTCTCAGGAATGGAATACTGTTCCATAGAAAAACAGATCCTTACTTCCACTTACTATTGTTTTCTTTGAAAGATAGTATTAATCCTACATAGCTTATTCTTACCTCCTTTTCAGTAGAAACGTCAAAAGCCCCAGAAGTGTAATAAGCCAGTGAAGCAGAACGAAAGAAATATTCTGAGATTCCTATATAGAGCATAGAGTCACTTGTGTTTGGGAGAAGGAAAAGGTCCGGCTCAAAAGAAAGCTGTGTTCTGTTTACTGCTGAGTAGACGGCCCCCTGAAAAGAATGACATGAAGAATAAAATATTAAGGTTATCAGAATCCAAAAACTTGAGGATAAAGACATGTTAGGGTGTCATACCAGCTCTTGAAATTATGGTTGAAATGGCCGAAAACTTTGCTGATATCTAAGGATGATCTTCATTGCAGGTATTGGAAATGTTAGTTTTGATTGCTACAGTTCATCACTTAATTTAAGTAATGCCAACTTAGTCAAACATCTGTAATTTATTCAAATGATGAACCAAGTTATCTTGATGAAGTTCTTGAAAATATGATGTAAGATTAGCGTGTTACCTTAAAATCCACACTAACTGATGTCAGTGAAATAGATGGAGGTTTTACCAAAGAGTAGTCTATTACTGCAAATGCATCAAGCTGGATCCGGCCTGTTAAGAGTAGGGGACAAAAAAGATATTACAAGATAGAGATATCCATATAACCAGATAAAAAAGGATTCAAAATCATTCTGATAATGCTTCTCGTGGTGGTGCTATTAGTAGAATAAGACCCTTTTTGAGTTAAATGGAATGATTTCAAGCTGCATATATCACATATTCCAAATCATGTTTATTAAGATCCAATAAGGGACTTTTCATATCACACAATTATAGTTCTATGATTCCGCTTCAACTGTCAAGGCTGATCTATTGGAATCCTGGGATTTGCAGTATGGTGAGGAATTAGAGCTCTTATTTACATCCATAAGGCAATTCAAATAGAATAACAGTGCTATAATTGTGTACTGCCATACGTTCAGGGGAGGATTTTTCCATCTTGTCATTAGAATTGCAACCACAGCAAATAAAAACACCTGAATAAGTTTTATTACAATCTGTACTTGGCTGAAAAATTGACTCTCTGGAAATATTTGTTTTAGAGAAGCTGTGGATATGATTGGTGCACTTGGGAATCAAGAGGCTGAATTTCATCTTTCGTTTTTTTATCTCTGTATTCAGCCATGTGATTTTTTTCAGTTGATAACAGTTTTGATGAAATTAAAGGTGAGTTTGACAAGTTCCCCAACACCTTCCTCAAAAAACTGCCTGAAATAATTCACCTCAACACCCAAATAGAGAAGATGATCCACTCGGGTCGGAAAGCTACCGTGTTTTTCTGCAGAAAGGGCAAAAGTGCCTTGTCTTGGCTGACCGCTGACTTCGTCCTTGCCAGAGTTATGCCCAAAGCCACCTGACTCATCAAATTCCAGCCTCCCCTTTCAAATACAAAGGCCCATGGCCTCCATTCCTTCAATTATGTAAGTGCCACTAAAATTGCCTTGGCTTGCACAGACACATTTTTGGGAGAGAGAAGGGATTTGAGATGTAAGGTCAATGACCGATTGGTCATCCTGAGCTATCTACTTTCCAAACCACAATTTCACCAACAGCCTTGGGGTCCTCCTGGCTTCTTATACCACCTAGAAGGATTCAAATTTCTTTCTTCCCCTCAGTGAGGAAAAGTGCATTGACGTGGTGCTGGATGACCTATCACAATTGCACAATATCACTAAAGACTATCTCAGATCAGTTTGCAACAAACATGTGGTTTATAAATGGACCCTGGACAAATTCTCCTTGGAGGCTTTTGCTGTTCTGGCTCCCTACGAGCTCAGTCGATTTTTCAAGACATTGGTTCAGAATGAAGGGAGGGTTTACTTTGCAAGAGGACATTTAGCTCATCCCCATGCTTGGACTGAGAGTGGTATGAAATCCACAATAAGAGCAGTAAGTGCTATTCATCTCAGGGCAGCTAAACCTGCCTTGTAGGAGCTAGAAAAATAAGAATATGTCACACCTATCCATAAAATAAATGACAGAATAGATAGACTTCCCTCATTTCTAATTACTGGGTGTTTGCGGTAGTGGTTATGAAAGAATGTGAGCATATTCAGCACAAAAGGATAGATATTGTCAATTGCACATATTCCCCATTGATTAGGGAATGTGTGCAATTGATAGTTGGAATGGCTATGCTTTACAATTTTGGATCATGTGATTTTAATGTTTATACTAGGATGTCTTAATGTTTAAATGTTGATTCTGTGTTATGTTTAATGGTCTTAATAACTTTAACTTATATGTTATTGTTTAGATATTATGATTTTTACATGTATGTTTGGCATTGAATTTTGCCATTAGTATTTTGTAAACTGCTTTGAGTCCCCCCAGGAGTGAGAAAAATGTTATATAAATACAGCAAATAAATAAATAAGTCAAGCGAACCAGTGTGATGTAGTGGTTTTAGGCTAGGACTCTGAAAGACTAGGGTTCGAACCCCTACTCAACTATGGAAACTTGCTGGATGCCGTTAGGCAACTCACATCTTCTTAGCCTTTCAGGAAGGCAGTGGCAAACCTGCTCTTAAAATCTTGCCAAGAAAAACTTATGATAGTGTCACTATAGGTTGGATTCTGTCATGTAGTAATAATAACAACAACAAATATCAAGAGCAGGAACATAACTGCACTGCTCTTGGGGCTGACTATGCTAGACACAGTCTAATGAGAATAGGCCATTGGACCTCATGCAACAATAGTATATTTTCTATCCATTGTTGTACAATCCTCCCCCTGAGTTTCCTTAGGGGGAGAAAAGTGTTATACAAGTATAGTAAATAAATAAATATGTCAATCTTAATAAATATTGCATTTTTTCAGCACTCAAGCACGGTATGAGTAATTACTAGGAAATGTATGTTTTTTTCTCCTAGACACGGATTATCTGGACCCGGCACAGTCTGGCTTTAGGCCGGGGCATGGTACCGAGACAGCTTTGGTCGCTTAGTGGATGATCTGCGCCGGGAGCTCGACAGGGGGAGTGTGTCCCTGTTGGTGCTGCTGGACCTCTCAGCGGCCTTCGATACCGTCGACCACGGTATCCTTCTGGGACGCCTCGCGGGGATGGGTCTTGGAGGTACTGTTTTACAGTGGCTCCGCTCATTCCTCGAGGGTCGGTCTCAGAAGGTGTTACTGGGAGACTCCTGTTCAACCCCACAACCTTTGTCTTGTGGGGTTCCTCAGGGTTCAATATTGTCTCCCATGTTGTTTAACATCTACATGAAGCCGCTGGGTGAGATCATCCGGAGTTTCGGAGTGCGATGTCATCTGTACGCGGATGATGTCCAACTCTGTCACTCCTTTCCACCTGCTACTAAGGAGGCTGTCGAGGTCCTGAACCGGTGCTTGGCCGCTGTGACGGTCTGGATGGGGGCGAACAAAGTGAAATTGAATCCAGACAAGACAGAGGTACTCCTGGTTAGTCGCAAGGCCGAACAGGGTATAGGGTTACAGCCTGTGTTAGACGGGGTCACTCCCCCTGAAGACGCAGGTTCGCAGTTTGGGTGTGATCCTGGACTCATCGCTGAGCCTGGAACCCCAGGTTTCGGCGGTGACCAGGGGAGCATTCGCACAGCTAAAACTCGTGCGGCAACTGCGCCCGTACCTTGGGAAGTCTGACTTGGCCACGGTAGTCCACGCTCTGGTTACATCCCGTTTAGACTACTGCAACGCTCTCTACGTGGGGTTGCCTTTGAAGACGGCTCGGAAGCTCCAATTAGTCCAACGGTCGGCAGCCATGATACTAACTGGAGCGGAGCGCAGGGAGCACACAACTCCTCTGCTGCACCAGCTCCACTGGCTGCCGATTTGCTACCGGGCTCAATTCAAAGTGCTGGCGTTGGCCTTTAAAGCCCTAAACGGTTCTGGCCCAACCTACCTATCCGAACGTATCTCGGCCTATCAGCCCACCAGGACCCTAAGATCTTCTGGGGAGGCCTTGCTCTCTATCCCGCCTGTTTCACAGGTGCGGCTGGCGGGGACGAGAGACAGGGCCTTTTCTGTGGTGGCCCCTCGGCTCTGGAACGCCCTTCCCATGGAGGTAAGATCAGCCTCCTCGCTGATGGTATTCCGAAGAAGACTAAAAACTTGGATGTTCAAGCAGGCATTTGGTTAATTCGGTGCAATGAATGTGTTGATTACGGATTGGTAATATGGATGATGCAATTGGACCACGATTTTAGTTAGGAGATGTATTGGATTGTGATTTACGTGTAATATTGTGTATTATGTTTTTTATGGTTTTAATTGTATACTGTGCTGTATATTTTGTTGTAAACCGCGTTGAGTCGCCAGTTAGGCTGAGAAACGGCGGTATACAAGGACAGTAAATAAATAAATAAATAAATAGGTAGTCCAGTTGCTGTTGTAATTGCAGCATTGTGAAAATGACCACAACTATCATAGTTTATTGTTATTATATCATAAATGATTATAAATAATGCAATGCATAAATTACCTTTTTAAAATCTCTGTAAATTCTGTGTTTACTTTTCCCTATTCTAGGAAACAGACCTTAATTTTTTTACAGCAAAATTAAATCAGTGCCCTCTCCATATCACATATGTGGACCTGATAGTGGGTTGTTGTCGTGCACAGGTATATCATATAGATAGTGAACATGCAATTATGGTGATTCTCACTAGTTACATAGCCAAAAGGACTTCCCAAAATATCAGTGAAGATGCAGTTGCAACTTACTTTGATGCAGTTTCAGTTCTGCATTAAAACGTTCGACCTCCGAATAAATGCCTGGACACAACTAAAAACACATTAATCTGATCAGTGATCAGTTCACAGATTGGGTACAAAGAATCAATGATCCTGTCTTTTTACTTTGTTATCTTGCTTTATCTTGAATGCCCAGGATAACAATTAGTTTAAAATATAATTACACATAATGGACAATGTCAATTAAAATCAGATAAATACACAACAATGCCTTTAAAAACTATCCAAAATACGTATGTCACTCCTCATTTCATCATATAAAGCTAATGCTTTATCACACATATTATAAAGCAAGCATCAGCTTTAATGCATTGGGAAAATATATTCTACAATTTTGAAGGGACTTGTGAAAAACTGGCTAAGACATCAAAATGATTATCCTTCTAATGAGTCAAAACCAGTCAGAGAAAATGCATTTACATAAAGAAAGTCATATGTAGAGAGGAAAATCGATAAATAGGTACTAGGAAATTATCTGAATGATAAAGGGAGATAAATATTAAACAGTTTCTGAATATATTGATTGGGAACATTTTGGAATTGCTGAACTAGCTCTATATATGCACAATGTCCTGCAAGGTATATATATGGCTCCTAAAGTGAGTATGGAAAACACAAGAATGGCCATCAGACTGGAAAAAATCAACTTATATCCCCATACCAAAAAAGGGAAATGCGAAAGACTGCTCAAACTTCCGTACAGTGGCCCTTATTTCTCATGCCAGTAAGGTAACGCTCAAGATCCTGCAAGGAAGACTCCAGCAATACATGGAGCGAGAGTTGCCAGATGTTCAAGCTGGGTTTAGAAAAGGCAGAGGAACGAGAGACCAAATTGCCAATATCCGCTGGATAATGGAGAAAGGCAGGGAGTTTCAGAAAAACATCTACTTCTGCTTCATTGACTATTTTAAAGCCTTTGACTGTGTGGATCATAATAAATGGTGGCAAGTTCTTGGTGGGATGGGCATCCCAAGCCACCTTGTCTCTCTCCTGAGGAATCTGTACAAGGACCAAGTAGCAACAGTCAGAACTGACCACGGAACAACAGACTGGTTCAAGATTGGGAAAGGCGTACGGCAAGGCTGCATCCTCTCCCACCCTTTTTAACTTGTATGCAGAACACATCATGCGATGTGCGGGGCTGGATGAATGCAAAGCTGGGGTGAAAATTGCTGGAAGAAACATTAACAACCTCAGATATGCAGATGACACCACTCTGATGGCCGAAAGCGAGGAGGAGCTGAGGAGCCTTCTAATCAAGGCGAAAGAAGAAAGCGCAAAAGCCGGGTTGCAGCTAAACGTCAAAAAAACCAAGATTATGGCAACAAGAATGATTGACAACTGGAAAATAGAGGGAGAAACCGTGGAGGCCGTGACAGACTTTGTATTTCTAGGTGCAAAGATTACTGCAGATGCAGACTGTGGCCAGGAAATCAGAAGACGCTTACTTCTTGGGAGGAGAGCAATGTCCAATCTCGATAAAATAGTAAAGAGTAGAGACATCAGACTGGCAACCAAGATCCGCCTAGTCAAAGCCATGGTATTCCCTGTAGTCACCTACGGATGTGAGAGCTGGACCTTAGGGAAGGCTGAGCGAAGGAAGATCGATGCTTTTGAGCTGTGGTGTTGGAGGAAAGTGCTGAGAGTGCCTTGGACTGCGAGAAGATCCAACCAGTCCATCCTCCAGGAAATAAAGCCCGACTGCTCAATGGAGGGAAAGATACTAGAGACAAAGTTGAAGTACTTTGGCCACATCATGAGGAGACAGCAAAGCCTAGAGAAGACAATTATGCTGGGGAAAGTGGAAGGCAAAAGGAAGAGGGGCGACCAAGGGCAAGATGGATGGATGGCATCCTTGAAGTGACTGGACTGACCTTGAGGGAGCTGGGGGTGGTAACGGCCGACAGGGAGCTCTGGCGTGGGCTGGTCCATGAGGTCACGAAGAGTCGGAGACGACTGAACGAATGAACAACAACAACAAAGTGAGTATAAATAAAAATAATCACTTAGAATCATAGATCTGATATACAGCTTGGAAAAACATTTTTTTTAAAAAAAAATTATCATTTTGTATCGTTATGCCAATACCCCCATGCATATGGGATATATTGAGCATGGTGATCAGATTATGATATGAATAAACATAACACTTTAAATAATGTACCAGTAAGGCCTTCTCGCGGACCACCCTGAGAATTTGGGGGGGGGGGCTGAAGCCCCTCAAGCCCCCCTCCCCTGGCTACATGCCTGTTGCTGGACTGTTATGTTATCCTATCAAAACAATATTAATAAATGCATACATTTCACCACCACATTAAATGTCAAGTTACACAAATGTCTTTAGTGTCAAACTCCAAACTACACAAACATTCTATATGTATTGAAGTTTGCAGCAGTCTTTTATTTACTGGTACTTATTTTGAGTTGAATTTGAAAGAAACGTAAGGGACATTTTACTGGGGAGAAAAGATACCATAGAGAGGTTCTTGAAGACTTACATTTAAGTTGAAGGCGTTGCGAAGAGGCCTCTCCAATAAATTAACAAGGAGTCTATAAAACCACCTGAAAAAAGAAAAAGAAGTGAAATTAGAGATACTGCAAGCACTAACAATGCAATGAATCCTGGTAATATAAATGCTGTTTTTTTCTCAATACAGGTTGAGTCTCCCTGATCCAGAAACCCAAAATCCTAAATATTCCTAAATCTTAAGATTTTGCTCCTTCCACCTTTGAGGAAAGGGGGCTAGTAGTCACATGTCTAGATGCCACCCCCCCTCCCCCTCGAGACCTGATGAGGGAAAGAGTGAAAGGAGAAGAAGGGAGGAGATTTTGTAAAAAACACATGTCCCAGATGTTTCCATGCTGGCTTTCTGCCTCACCAATGGTTAAGGGTGGCAGATGAGCAGCCAAGTGGCGTGTAGACTGGCTATATATATCCCAAAGAAAACAAAGAAGACTCACCAGGGACAGGGAAGTGGAGGAATTTTCCTTCCCAGCCGATTTGCTAAAAGGGTGCCACAAAAACAAGTGGGATGTTTAGTTTTTTACAGGGGTCTTGTGAAATGGAGTCCTCTCTTTCTTCTCTTTCTTCTGGCAGGGCTTCTCGAGGAGACTGGACTAGCAAATAGCCACCTTTCTTGACAATCCCTCATCCATTATGTTTACGCAAATACAGATGTGTTCTAAAAACAATTTAAAAACCAAACCTAAAAATCTTTTGGTCCCAAGAGAAACTTAGATAAGAGAAACTCAACCTGTACTTCTATACATGGGGTTTTTGCATAGAGGACATTCATGGCAGTCTCTATGTTATGTTATTCAAACATTTAATAAATACATTCTCAAACCAGGCATTTAGATTTTGTATGAAAAGCAGTAATAAAGGCTCAATCATGTATGTGATCCATATTCTGGTTAGAGTGTTCTATCAGTTTCTTGCTTAAAACTGCTCCACGTTTAACTTGCTGTTGCCCCCCACCACCACTCCAAAGGTTCTGCTCTCTGAGGATTACACATTTTGATGCAAAGAGAAGCTGTGGAGGTATCTGGTCCAGTACGAAACTGTTGTGTGCCTTCACACTGGATCAGGAAAACATTCCAAGTTTTATTAATAAAAGGCGCTCATGCTATTTATTTTAGAAATAACTATCTTCCTTACCACCTAACCCCAAACCTTTCCTAAATAAAATCTAGATGTAAGATTTGTTGTGGAACCACCAAGAAAAATTAATCTAACAATTATGGAGCATGCATGGGAGCCTCCTATAGTTCTTGAACAGAAATTCCAATTATTTCGCTGTGCTGGCTGGATTGATGGCACCTGCTGTTCTCCACTTTCTAAATATGGAGATTGCTTCTACTGTATCAGAGTTGTATCAGTTGTGGGTGATTGGGAATTTCATGATGTTCCCCTTTTAAAGTACACATGACTACTAGCACAACCCCTTATGGACAAAACAACTGTGTTCCTCCAGTTTACTTTGCCATTACTGTTCCATTTTAGTTTCTTCCACAAATAGCACTCAGAGGTCTTAAGTTCTGTTATTATTTTTTGATGCTTGAACTTTCTGTTTGGATATTTTTTTTTGTCAGCCCAAGGTTTCCCATGGTCCTATTGGGATGGGTGCCTCAAAATGACAACACTTTTGACATTATCTTAGTATAGTGGTTCCCAAACTTTGGTACCCCAATGGTTTTAGACTTTAACTCCCAGAAATCCCAAACAGCTTGGCCAACAGGAATCGAAGTCTAAAACACCTGGAGGACCAAAATTTGAGAACCATTGACTTAGTGGCATGGGAATCAGCTGGATCATCTGTGACAATTTGATGACATGGGAAAAACTAGGGCAGTGCGAAGAACTATCTACCCTCACACTTCAATCCACTCATGCCATCTTCTCAGAAAGTCTAATACAGATGTTAAAGGAGGGAGGATTATGTTCTTTTTCTGACTGTCTATAGGAGAAGAGCAGAAGGGGTACACGTGGTATAACAAAGTATCATCTTCAGAAAGGACCTTCAGGAAATGTTCTCATCTGATCATGAAGGATTACTTTAGGGTGGCCTAATGTATATGGCATGGCTTTTCATGGAAATCCTTATAAACATGGATGAAGAGCAAGCTTAATGTATTCTACATGATTTATTGTGAGAATCAGAAACATTTTTGTATTTCTGAAGTTAGCATTTGAGAAAATGGATTGTGATTATATGGAACTAGCTGTGCCCTGCCACGCGTTGCTGTGGCCTATAGTAAAACTTATCAAAGTTGAGGTAGATATCTGGACTATTATGAAAGAGAGGTACCTACCTATTCCTTCCCCCTTTTCCTCCCCCTTTCTCTCCTTTCTTCCTTCTCTACCTCTTTCTTTCTTTCCTCCTTTCACTACTTGGTTTCATCCTTCTCTCTTTCCTTCATTCCCTCCCCCTTTCTTCCTTTGCCTTTCTTCCCTCCCTGTTTGCTTCCTTCTTTCACTTTTTATTTCCTTTTATTTCACCACCATCATAACAATAACAATAATGCAATGCATTGCCTCTGGGACCTGACACCTCTCCCATTCCCCCTAAAAGGGTCTAATGGGAATAATAGCATAATAATAATTGAAATAACAACCTTTACCCGCCACGTGTTGCTGTGGCCAACCTTCCCTCTTTCTCTCCTTCCTTCCTTCCTTCCTTCCTTCCTTCCTTCCTTCCTTCCTTCCCATCTTTCCTTCTCCTCTTCTTTCTCTATCTCTTTCCTTCCTTCCCCCCTTTTCTTTCTTTTCTGCTGTCTCTCTTTTCTTTCCTTCCATCTTTCCTTTTCTTCTTCCTCTAACTTTCCTTCCTTCCCCCTTTTTCTTTACCTCCCTTTCTCTTTCTTCCTTCTTTCCTTCCTTCCTGTCTTTCCTAGATTTTGACAGGGCGGGAAGGGGCGGGGTGGGGTTTGGAGGTGGCGTGAAGTAAAAGGAGGTAAGATTGGGGTGGGGGAGTGATGGAGCGTGGGGTTGCGTGTGTGTGGCGGCGGGGGGAGTGATGGAGCGTGGGGTTGCGTGTGTGTGTGCGGCGGCGGGGGAGTGATGGAGCGTGGGGTTGCGTGTGTGTGCGGCGGCGGGGGGAGTGGGGTTGCGTGTGTGTGCGGCGGTGGGGGGAGTGATGGAGCGTGGGGTTGTGTGTGTGTGTGGCGGCGGGGGAGTGGGGTTGCGTGTGTGTGTGCGGCGGCGGGGGGAGTGATGGAGTGTGGGGTTGCGTGTGTGTGTGCGGCAGGGTGTGTGTGTGTGCGGGAAGCGGCACGGCGGGGCTTGGAGTGGGCATGGTTTCCGCAGAGGGAACGTTGGCCGGAAGGCCATGTGCGCGCGCCAGGGAACTTGCGGCTGGGCGCCAATGCGCATGCTCAGTTGTTTTGCCGTTTTGTGAGTGTGTTGTTGTGTTGTTTTTCATTTTGAGTAGATATGTTTGTACCTTGTGGGTTGTGTTATGGGCATGGGAATTTTGGTTAAGTTTCGTTGGGGTTTTTTGAGTTTTGTTGTTTTGCCGTTTTGTGAGTGTGTTGTTGTGTTGTTTTTCATTTTGAGTAGATATGTTTGGACCTTGTGGGTTGTGTTATGGGCATGGGAATTTTGGTTAAGTTTCGTTGGGGTTTTTTGAGTTTTGTTTCCTCGTTGGATGCCCCTAACAAATTTATATATATAGATCAGGAAAGATGCATATATTGTTTTATCCAGGAAAAAATTAACCTTATATCATTGTCTAATTGCTCTCACAAATAAGATAAAACGTTTTTCCTGCCTTACCTAGATGTGTCATCCAGCTGGATATCAATACCATCAACATTTCCAATGCAATTTTCAAGCAGCAACTTTGGGTGACCATCCTCATCCGTTGACACTTTTGCAGCAGCAGAGATAGACACCCCTGTAAGGCAGACTTTCAGTTTTCCTGAACTTCTGCTGCTATTAAAAAAACACAATTCATTAACCTGATCAGTTTAAGACTATACTTTAAAAGAATTGTTCATTGAATAGTAATCCTTGCTTTTGAACACTGGTATTTTAATCAACATTTTGTTCTAATTCATTGTAAATTGACCTTGGTTCCATTCTGGGAGAAAGGGTGGATGCAAAACAAACAAATACATGCTCAAAAGGAATCCTAAGTTTTTAAAATCGAGTTCAATTTCCTCCAGTCATGCTGAAATACCTAGAGATTTCTAGAGAGAAGTTCTCTGTCTAGGCAATCCAGTGCAATTCTAATGTTTGTTTCCAGTGGAAGTAAACCCTACAGTCATGTTGAAAGACCTAGAAATTCATAAAGAGTATAATCACTGCTTTTTAAAACAAGCAATTTCTTTATTCATGGTTTTTCACTCTCGCAGAGGTCCTGTGCCCCTAACCGACCAAATGTGGAGAGATGATTGTACTTTTTTGAGTCTATAAATGTCTGAACATATCTAGTTCGTCCTTCTCTGTTATACTCACAGTAACCAGGTGGAAAATCTCCAGTCTGCAGTAGCAATTGCTGAAGCATCATGAACCAGTAGCTTCATCCCAGTGCCAGGTATGAGAAACAGTGACTTTCCAGGGAACTGAACATGCTGGATTTTTATCCTGCAAATCACCAAAATGGCCAAAATGTGTTAGGGTTTTTAAGAATAATAAAACCAATGACCAATTATCAGCAATTGGAGCTTTGTCTTAATTTGCTTTGACTGTTTTCTATACTCTCAATAGAGCGAAGTAACAGAATAATAGGGTTGGAAGATACCACAAGGACCGTCCTGTTTCTAGCGATGCTACACATTTTTGATAGATGGCTGTCTAGCCTCTGTTTAAAAACTTCCAGAGATCGAGACTCCACCATACTAGAAGGCAGAATATTTGACTGTCAAAAGGCTCTTACCATCAGGAACTTGCTCCTCATGTTTAGATGGGATCTCTTTTCCTGCAGTTTAATTTCATTGCTTTGTGTCCTAGTCTCTGGAGCAGCAGAAAACAAGCTTGTCCCCTCCTCAATATGACATCCTTGCAAAAATTTAAATGTGGGGAACATATACCTATCAATCTTCTTTTCTCCAAGCTAAACATACCCAGTTCCCTAAGCCATTCTTTATAGGGCTTGGCTTCCATGCCTTTTTTTCTCATTTGGTTGTCCTTTTCTGGACACATTCCAGCTTGATAATATCCTTCTTGTAGTGCCCAGAACTGGACAGATAGTGTTTCAGCATAATTTTGAGTATGGTTGGAAGGGATGGCCACAATTTTATTTATTGGTTGCCTTTGCTTCTCTCTTCCTTTACAGCAAAATAAGCCACAGAGTGTGTGATAAGGATGGGCGAAATTGTACCTTTCCTCTCTTCACACTTCTTCATAGGAATTTTTTAAAAGAGGGCTAAAATTAGGGGCAATTCATCATTAAAAGCAAACACTACTAAACAGAAATAAATATAAAAGCAGAACTTGCAATGAAGAAAATGCTAATTAACATGGCAGGAAAATTTTGCTGAAAGGAAGTGGGATTTTTATGTGAATAAATACTATTAAAGGATCCTGACCTTTGGGTAGGGAATTACTGAATAATAATAGCATTATCTTGGATGTAAAGATCCACATCTTTCATTCCATCCCTACTTGATTGCTGTAAAGCAATCATTTCCTCAGTACTAAAGATCCCATGTATGCAAATAACATTGCTTACTTTGAAACTGTGTAATTATATCCACTAAATCCAGACATATCTTCTCCATGCCAGTCCTCAATGATGGCTTCCTTTAATCTTTGCTTCAAGAGCTCTAGTCCAACCTGCATACCTACAAAAGCACATGATTTCAATTCACTTTCTGTTTGGATGAAAAGATGTGGTGGATACAGAAAAATGCAAATTATATTTTAAAGCACATTCCACTTTAATTCCATTGGCTAATATGGATTTCATTTGGCTAAAGCAGATGTAGAAGTTTATCTCCCTTTAGATGGGCCTGACCTAGCCATGCTCATTCAGGTCACCTCCAAGCTTGATTACTGCAAAATAATCCATGGGTCTGCTCTTGGAGATGACTCAAAAGCTCCAAATGATAGAGAGTGTTGTTGACAAGAGCTGTATTCCTGACAGATAGGATTAAGAGGAATGCATTGTCTTCTACAAGGTTTTTCCCGTCTTTCAAAAGTGAATTTTTAAAAGGCCTTAAAAAAATTCATGTCATGAGATCTGCAGTATACCCATTAGCTTGCCATCTGAAGCTTAATCACTACTTGATGCTTAGTCAACAAGTTTTAATATTAAGGCAACTCCCCTCACTTTAATCATGGATGCAAAATAGGACCTGGTGAACTAAAGAGGAGGTCCCTCAAAAGTAATCTGTTGGGAGCTGGGTGCCAACTTTTGGCAGGGCATGAGCCAAAACTGGGTGTAGTTTTTCATTCTATATCTCCCTGCCAGGAGGAAAAAGTCATTTTTGTCAGAGATCTAGTTAAATTTGGCTGTGAGATTAGCTATGATTCTCAAGAGCAAGGCTTAATTCCCTGCTTGGCCATGGAAACCCACTAGGCGACCTTGGGACAGTCATGCACACTTAAGCCTTAGAAAACCCCATGATAAGGTTGCCTTAGGGTTACCATAAGTTGAAAATGACATGAGAGCACACAACATATTAGAGCCAATGTAACCAGCTACCTAAAGGAACATACTTCTCCCCTCATTAAGTTATGATTCTAAACATGTAACTTTGCAACTCACCAAAATGCAAACCTTCTTCAGTAATCTTCACTTTGATGCCAGGGTTAGCATTTAGGCATAAGCTGGAGAGGCTCAAAAGGAGCAAAAAACTACAGGCACTCATATTTCCTCTTTTCCTCCTTTTTCGAAAACACCTGTTAAAACATGTGTCATTTAATATTATTTTTTCTCCTTTCCCTCCACCCCATACCATCCATCTTGTATTGCCCTCTAACTCACACTCTGCAGTGACTTTTATCATTTGGACAGGTTGAGCTATTTTATTTTGGAACAAAAGAACACTCTTACCAATTATAAGTCTTCTTCAAATTTGCTTGAACTGTATATCAAGTGGCCCCAATAGTTCAAGCAAATTTGGTGTCTTTCAGCTGTCCACAGGATACTACATTTGTTACACAACAGTATTTCTATGTTAAATTGCTCACGACAAGAACACACTATATTGGGTTGCTATAAGTTTTTTCGGGCTGCATGGCCATGTTCCAGAAGCATGCTTCTAAAACATGGTCATGCCACCTGAAAAACTTACAGGAACCCAGTGATTCTGGCCATGAAAGCCTTCAACAATATACACTATATAATTTTCAACAACTCTGTATAATTTACGTTTCAGTTGAAACCAAGCATGTTTGGTTACAAAATGACTCCTGTTTTACCAAAATCTGCTGAAAAGCTATGATCTTGTCTTCTACAACCCAGGCCTCTCAAGTCTTTGTTGTGTTGCATTCCCCAAGCAAGCATGAAAAGTACTTTCCTTGAACTTAAGGGTTCCCCCCACCAAACCAAATGAAGAGACCCATCAACTTACTCACCCAGCCCTTAGTGGAATTATCAAACCAGTTGGCTGTCTTTACCTTGGTGAAACCTTGGAGAGTAGAAAATTAGTCTCTCTTACAACTGAAATAAATACTTTAATTGCAACCAGCTGGGCTGGAAACTGAAGAGAACTGAACATCAAATGAGAACTTTAAGAAACCTTTAAGCTATATCGTGTCCATGCTAAACATTAACTATTCTTTGCGATGCACACAATTGATGTGATAGTCAAATGACTGATAGTACATTTTTTGAAAGATAAAAGATGACTCCTTTACTTCCTTTTTTGTCAATGTCTGTGCTTCACAAACTACATCCAATATGGTTATTTTAGTAATTCTTTAAGGATTGCTACCACTCTGTCTGATGATTTATAGCTCTGTGAAAGACCTTGTTAAATAAAACTCCTAATACCTTGAGTTCTCTTTTATCACTGGACTATTCTATACTATTGCATTAATTTATTTATTTTATGGGAATCAGGGCGGCCTAACAAAGCCAACAATTCAATGCCATATATTAATACATTGATAAATAAATATAAATATTTAAACCCAACCCATTAAAACATAGCATTAAAACCTCAGTTAAAATAACATGATCCAAGTTATATTCCAGGGCCGGTCTGAGTCATCATTATGTTGATTTGTAGTCACATACTGCACTACTCCCATTACTGACTGAAAGCCTGATCCCAGAGCCATGTTTTCATTTTTGTCCTGAAGTTCAGGAGGGATGGGATGGATCTAACTTCACAGTGGAGGGAGTTCCAAAGATGAGGGGCCACCACTGAGAAGGTCCTCTCTCTAGTCCCCACCAGACGTGCTTGTGAGAGGGATGGGACTGAGAACAGGGCCTACCCCTACGATATTAATCTCCGAGGTGGGTCATAGAGGGAGATAGGTTCGGACAACAATGCTTTGAAAACATTCTTTATTCATAGAATCATAGAATCAAAGAGTTGGAAGAGACCTCATGGGCCATCCAGTCCAACCCCCTGCCAAGAAGCAGGAATATTGCATTCAAATCAGAACTGTTTCCTCTTATTATAGCAAAATACTTTTTCTCAGTGGTAGTTGACTGACCGGACTCTAACAGAGCATATCAGGGTGTCAGTATAAAACATTTTGTTATTTTCTTTTGATCTTCAAAATTTCCTGTTGCCCCCATTTCTGATTTTTAATTTTTCTAGGTTTAACAGTGGTAGGAAAAATAATGTCTGGGGCAGGAGGAGGACTAGATGTTATTACTGTCCAATAACATCCAATCAAAAACAAAAAGGTAAGAGTGTTTCAAAGCTTTTGGAATCAGCTAGAAGGAAAACCTAGGACAACAAAGTTATTTTAATACATTATTCGGTAGCTAGTTAATTCATGCAGTAACAAGCTGCAAATGGGTTATTGACTTTTTTTCTTTTTGGCTATAAGGGCTTTGGTTGAAATTTTATTCTGTTCAGTAGAGTAAGAACTAGGTACCTACATTACTATGTGTATGTATTGGCTGAGGCTCCATCTATACTGACCGTTTGATGCAATTTCAAGTCAGTATTGAAGAAAATGTTTTTGCTGTGCAGATGATTACACTGAGAATTCTGGAATTAGTTTGAGATCCAAATGGTGACTACACAAACTACAGAGCACCAATGTACATTAAGAGCTTTCTTTTTTGTGCTTTTGGAGAAGTTTGTTGTCTTGCCACCACAGTTTGAAGCTTGCTTCCAGCTGCATTAAAGGGTCAGTGTAGATGGGTCCTGCATCTAAGCAATGGAATGGGATGAGAAAGAGTCACATGAGAAGCTCGATCATGCTGTGATCTGCAACAAGAATAACAGAGAAAGAGAGTAACTATAGAAGAGAAGACACACATTTACGACATGAGCTGTGCTAGACACTCAGGTTCCTGTTTTACATCAATTTACACCACAAAGATGATTGTGTGAAACAGAGTAGTTACTGCTCTGGACTTTGCACACAGAAATTAGCCCTTTCAAGTAATTGCACTGTTGTTTTAAGTCAACACAGCCCTCCATTGATCTCTGGCAATTCTTAAGTGCCTATCTTTACATCTCAACATAAGTTCTGCTCTTTGCTTTTCCCCTCACATTTTCCCTTAGCAATCACAATAGGATAAGTGGGAAGGGCTTTCTTACTCTCTCTCTCTCTATATATATATGGTAAGGTAAAGGTTTTCCCCTGACATTAAGTCCAGTCCTGTCCGACTCTGAGGTGTGGTGTTCATCTCCATTTCTAAGCCGACACCAAGATCATGTGACCGGCATGACTGCATGGAGTGCCGTTATCTTCCCGCCGGAGCGGTACCTATTGATCTACTCACCTTTGCATGTTTTCAAACTGCTAGGTTGGCAGAAGCTGGGGCTCTCAGCGGAAGCTCACGCCGCTCCCCGGATTCGAACCTGCGACCTTTCGATCAACAAGCTTAGCGGCTCAGTGGCTTAACCCACTGCTCCACCAATTAATGTGAGGGTCTGCATTTTGCCATCCCTTTTTTCTATCTGGTGTTCATAACATAAATCAATAGAGCCTTTTTAGGCACTGCTTGGGAACTGCAGGGATGCTAATTGCTCATACAAATCAGTGGAAAAAGCCATTGTATGGAAGACCTTTTAACACTTATATGCACAATGGGTTCCTAATCTTAGCTGACGTTTTTACATATCAGTACAATGAAAAAGGATGAGACATCCAGGGCCAAGACTACTTTTTATTTATATTCCACATTCCCATCATATGAGTCAAAACAGTTCAGATTAGATTTTTAAAATGTCAGTTCAGTGCAGATAGATTACTTTTCCATTGCTTTGTTTGTGTGTATATTTGGATCTTAATGATCACACCAGTTTGATCTCTTTCTACAGTATTGGCAAACAGGTCTGGAAACCATGCCCTATGATGAGTGGTTTTGTGTAGTTTGGAGAAGAGATATTTAAGGGATAACATTATAGCCTTGTTTAAATATTTCCTACTCCATAGACTGGATTTTAGAGAAATGGGTTTAAACTAAAGGAAAAGGCATCCACTTAAACATCAGAACAATTTCCTGGCAGGAGTAAGTTGTTCTCAACAATGGTATACATTGCCTTGGAGTGTGGTGGAGTCTTCTTTTCCAGAGATTTTTAAATACAGCAAAGATGGACATGTTTAAGGACTGCTTTGATTGTGTATTTTTGCATGGCAGGAGATTGAACTGGATGGTTCTTGTCGTCTCTCCCAACTCTGTGATTCAATGGTTTCTCACAAACTGATGTCCCTCCTGCTGCACTGAGATCTTTAAAGGCAGATGTATGCTCAACATCTTTAAACATGTCAATCTTTTGTGGATGGTACATCACAATCATTTTGATTGTGAGACAATTGTGTTTAAATTCATTCAGAGTCATACATGCGTAAATGCTTTCTTACTTTAAGATGAAATTTAAAAAATGGTTTTGCAATACATGAGAAGTAATCTCAAAGTTTAAACATTTCCATCAATCAAGGGTGACAATTAGAGGATTTCTGAGATCTCACATTATGTGTAATTCTTTCATCAAGTCATTATGGCAGCTAATTACTTCTCGGGGGTATACTCTACATTGTTCTTCCAATTTCTCATTTCCAAAGGAAAGCTGGAGACTTTTAAAAACATGCCCAGTGTATTTTGAGCTTCTGGTCATGGGAAACACTGGATTATACTTTTCTTATCACTGTCCCATTATAAATCTACTGGAAAGAGCCAATGATTGAATAAGCCAAAGACAGCTGTAATTTGATATGAAACAGACGAATACTGAAGGATAATCCAGTATTGAAAGCATTAATGACATCACTTTTAGCTGTGTTGGAGGAGGGAAGAATTTTGCCCTTTCCAGCCATTCACAATATTGAAAACAATCTGTGAGTCTAATTTCCCTGACAAAAAAGTAGCTACCAGCTTTGTTGGGACAACTAATGGAATCTATAGCTTGTCCTCTGACTTATCAGGAGATATACATCCAGACTGATTAAAAAGACCAGGGAGTTCCAGATTTTGATGAAGGCATATAATACACTTAGCAGTTCCCAACTTGGTTACAAGCTGGCATTATAATTTGCTTCTACTAGTAAATTTCACAGACCAAGCTGAGAATCATTATTCAAGAGTCATGTAGAAGAAAGATTTATTCTGAAATGTGCTGGGTTTAATATATCCTTCCCATCCACAGCTTTTGTTCCATGAGGATCAGGTAACAATCGCTGCTGTCCCTAACTATCTCCTGTTGCCTTCAGTAGATTTTTTTCATGCCCAGTTAATTCTTGCTAGGATTTTTTTTTTA